AAAACCCATCAATTAGTAACAATAATGCCCAGATAAATTCAGAGAGGCACCCTCCTGGGCCTACATATATCCACGACAGGTTACTCCATCATGTCCACAAGGAGGAAAAAAGCAAAAGAGAGCTGAGAAACTATACCACTTTAAAGCGCTCCTGAGAAAATAAAACTCCTACTGGTGACATCATTTATCACACAAATATTAACACCTAGCAATACCTCTTCACCTATGAGCACAAAATAGAATCACAGGTGTTCAAAATGAACCCTAAGACAATGCAGTGAAAAGATACCCATCACCAGAACCACAGCCGAGATACACATAGAGACCTGAGAATGAAACCATCAACCAACCAGCAGAGTCTGGCAAAGATAGAACGATCAGAGGGAAGAACTCATGTACAAAGACTCCCCACCAGATAACAACAACTACATGGTCCCCAAAGATTACTAATCTCAAAGATTATTACTGATCTACAGCGGCAAAATAGACAACCTCCTAGACCAGCATCACATAATAGGGTCAATGGAATATGAAATAAGGCCAAATCACCCATATATGGGACAGAGATGAGATCTAGTGCCTGTACAAATGACAACCCATGACACAAACCTAACACACTATTAGCTAGTCAGCCCACCCTCTCTTAACTCCTCTAAACTGCTTCAATTTCCGAACTATATCTAGCTACACTACTAATCTTCTTTTATTCTCCTTTCCTACAAAAAGAAAAAAAATGACTTGGCAGGTAGGGGGTGAGGGAGGATGGTAGGGGAAGAAGGAATTAAAGAGGAGGTGTGGAATAGGGGAGTGAGAAGAGTGGCAGGAGAGTAAGGGGTAGGGGAGGTAGCAGGGGGAGTAAGGGTAGGGGAGGTAGGGGAGGTGGGGAGTAGAGGGAGGAGCAGGGGAGTAAAGGGGGCAGGGGGGCATGAGGGGGGATGGGGGTGGGGAGGCAGGAAGTGGGGGTGAGGAGGGTGGTGAGGAGGTAAATATTGAGAGACCATCTGCAACTACACTACGCCTACTTGTCCTCAACTAATAAAGATCAAAGATAAAAAGCCAGCAGAAAATTACCAATTAAACTTGACTAAAGTTGTCATTTCCATTTTCTTTCTTGAATCAGCGTCAACGTCATCTGAGAGGTGTGCGGTAGTGTTCTTTCTCACTCCCTCTGGCTGGTGTTAAGACTTGTTCTCCCTCCTGGCTGGTGGTAAACATTCCTCCCTCCTGGCTGGTGTTAAGACTTGTTCCTCCCCCCTGGTTGGTGAGACTTCTCCTCCCTCCTGGCTGGTGTTAAGACGGTGCCTCCATACAGCTGGTGTCTCCTCCTGGCTGGTCTCCTCTGGTTGGTGTTAAGACGTTCCTCCTCCCTGGCTGGTGTTAAAGGCTTGTCCCTCCTCCTGGCCTGGTATAGACTTGTTCCTCCTCCTGGCTGAGCTAAGACGTGTTCTCCATCCTCGGCTGGTGTTAAGACTTGTCCTCCCTCCCCTGGTTGGTGTTAAGACTTGTCCTCCCCCTGGGCGGCTGGTGTTAAGACACCGTCCCTCCCTGGCTGGTGTTAAGACTTGTCCCTCCCTCCCTAGCTGGTGTTAAGACTTGTTCTCCCAGCTGGTGTTAAGACTGTTCTCCTCCCTGGCTGCAAGAGACTCTGTCCCTCCTCCCAGCTAGTGTTAAGACGTCCCTCCTCCCTGACCAATTAAGACTCTGTTCTCCCTCCTGGCTGGTGTTAGACTTGTCCTCCTCCTGCTGGTAAGCAGATCATCCCTCCCTCCTGGCTGGTGTTAAGACTCTGTCCTCCTCCCTGGCTGGTGTTAACACTTGTTCTCTCCTGGCTGGTGTTAAGACTTGCCCTCCCTCCCTGGCTATTGGTGTTAAGACTTGTTCCTCCTCCCTGGCTGGTGTAAGACTGTCCTCCTCCCCTGGCTGGTGTTAAGACGTCCCTCCCCCCCTGGCTGGTGTTAAGACTTGTTCCTCCTCCCAGCTGGTGTTAGACAACTGCTGGTTACTTAAGATTTTATTAGATATTCTAGATACCTTCATAAAATACATATATTTTCTTGATCTCTTTACAGTTAATAATATTTAGTTACACAAATAAAACCTTGAGTGAAGACGTTAATAGTTTCTTGGTTTGTTTGAAGATCACAAATTTATATGTGGGTTAAAAAATACATCATTAGAACACGAGTCAGCGTTGTGAGAGAAAGAAGAAAAACAAGTTCCAATAAAGTCGTATATCGGCAATAACCCCATAATGTTCAATATTGGTAACTCTCAAACTTTAAAACAAACAAAGTGTCTCAAAACAGGTAAACGTCTCGAATTATATATATATATATGTTGACAGCTTACCGGCATCAACAATAAAAAAGTAAATAAAAAAAATAATTGAACCTCGAAATTATCTTGAAATTAGTAACTTAAAATGTCTTGAAATTTAAAATCATTTGGACGGGAGAAATAGTTAATCCCAACTTTGTACGTTTTTCCCAAACTTGTCCTGCCTCACGACTGCTGTGCATCTGCCAATTATGCGATATTTTATTAACTACTTTAACACACTGAAAAACATCCTGCCGCCAACATTCACGAAGAGATAATTAAAACACCAGAACAAATTACGAGTAAAACTGAGACTCACGTTAAATATATTAACGAATGAAAATTATTTAACTGGTATGGAAGAAATATGTTCATAATTGATGAGTGATCATGGTGACTGCAGGTGACTGTTGGTGACCGGCAGATTATGTACTGGCAGGTGATTGTTGGTGAATCTGGCAGGTGATTGTTGGTAACTGGCAGGGTGATTGTTGGTGACTGGCAGGTGATTGTTGTAGTGACTGGTGGTGATTGAATACTGATGTGATTGTTCAACGTCGAAAAACAGTTGGTAGGTATTAAATTGACACAAAACAAAATAATAATCTATGAAGAAACTTAAAAGAGAGTTCATAGTTTTCCTTCACACTGTGGGGCGATGACAGGAGGGGGGCGTTGACAGAGAGGGGAGTTGGACAGGACAAGGGGAGTTGGACAGAGAGGGGGAGTTGGACAGGGGGGAGTTGGACAGGAGGCGGGAGTTGGACAGGAGGCAGGGGAGTTGGACAGGAGAGGGAGTTGGACAGAGGCAGAGTGGACAGGAGGCGGGGAGTTGAACAGGAGGAGGGCGTTGGACAGAGGGGAGGGAGTTGGACAGGAGGCAAGGGAGTTGGACAGAGAAGGGGAGTTGGACAGGAGGCGGGGGTTGAACAGGAGGCGCGGGAGCAGGAGGCGGGAGTTGGACAGGGAGGCGGGAGTGGGACAGGAGGCGGAAAGCTGGACAGGAGGCGGGAGTTGGACAGGAGGCGGGAGTTGGACAGAGGCGGAGTTGGACAGAGGCGGGGAGTTGACAGGAGTAAGGGAGTTGGACAGGGAGGGGGAGTTGACAGGAGGAGGGTAGGACAGGAAGGACAGAGGCAGAGTTGGACAGGCAGGGGAGTTGGACAGAGGAGAAGGAGTTGGACAGGGACAGAGGGGAGTTGGACAGGAGGCGGGAGTTGACAGAAGGGGAGTTGGACAGGAGGCGGGAGTTGGACAGAGGCGGGAGGAGTTGGACAGGAGGAGGGGAGTTGGACAGGAGCATGGAGTTGACAGGGGTGAGGGGGAGTTGACAGAGGCAGGCAAGCAGGTGAGGCGAGGAGTTGAGACAGGAGGAGTGGGGAAAGACAGGAGGGGGAGTTGGACAGGAGGAGGGAGCTGGACAGGAGGGGATGGACAGGAGGCGGGAGTTGGACAGGAAGAGGGGCTTATGGAGAGGAGGGAGTTGACAGGAGGGAGCTGGACAGGAGGCGGGAGTTGGACAGGAGGCGGGAGTTGGACAGGAGGCGGGAGCTGGAGGAGGCGGGGAGTTGGACAGGAGAGGAGTTGGACAGGAGGCGGGGAGTTGACAGGAGGGGGAGTTGGACAGAGGTGCTTGACAGGAGGCGGGAGTTGGACAGGAGGCGGGGAGTTGGAGAGGAGGCGGGAGTTGGACAGGAGGAGGAGCTGGACAGGAGGGGAGTTGACAGGAGGGGGGGAGTTGACAGGAGGGGAGTTGGACACAGGAGGAGGAGCTGGACAGGAGGAGGAGTGGACAGAGGAGGGGAGTTGGACAGGAGGGGGATGACAGAAGCAAGTGCTGACAGGACAGGAGTTGGACAGGAGGCGGGAGTTGACAGGAGGAGGGACAAGGAGTGGAGTTGACAGGAAGGGAAGGAACAGGAGGAGGAGTTGGACAGGAGGAGGAGTTGGACAGGAGGAGGGGAGCTGGACAAGAGGAGGAGACAGGAGGCGGGGAGTTGACAGGAGGAGGAGTTGACAGGCGGGAGTTGGACAGGAGGAAGGAGTTGGACAGGAGGAGGTTGACAGGAGGATGGAGCTGACAGGAGGAGTTGGACAGGAGGCGGAGTTGGACAGGAGGCGGGAGTTGGACAGGAGGCGGGATGACAGGAGGCGGAGAAGGAGCGGACAGGAGGAGGAAGACAGGAGGTGAGCTGACAGGAGGAGGAGTTGACAGGAGGAGGGCGTTGGACAGGAGGAGGAGCTGGGACAGAGGGAGTTGACAGGAGGGAGTTGACAGGAGGCAGGGAGCTGGGACAGGAGGCGGGGAGTTGACAGAGGCAAGGGGAGTTGACAGGAGGGGGGAGTTGGACAGGAGGAGGGACAGGAGGCAGGGGAGCGACAGAGGCGGGAGTTGGACAGGAGGCGGGGGAGTTGGACAGGAGGAGGAGTTGGACAGGAGGCGGAGTGTGGACAGGAGGCGGGGGAGTTGGACAGAGGGAGGGAGGACAGGAGGGGAGAGCTGGACAGGAGAAGGAGCTGGACAGAGGAGGAGCACAGGAGGGGAGGGAGTTGGACAGGAGGAGGGAGTGGACAGGAGGCGGGAGTTGGACAGGAGGCGGGGAGTTGGACAGGAGGCGGGGAGTTGGACAGAGGAGGGAGTTGGACAGGAGGAGGGGAGTTGGACAGGAGGAGGGAGTTGGACAGGAGGAGGGAGTTGGACAGGAGGCGGGAGTTGACAGGAGGAGGAGTTGGAGGAGGCGGAGTTGGACAGGAGGCGGAGTTGACAGGAGGCGGGAGTTGACAGGAGGAATAGACAGGAACAGAGAGGGTGAGAGAAACAGAGGCAAAGGGAGGGACGGAGGTGACTGAAGAAAGGCAGGCAGAGGGGGGAGGAAGGTGCGTGAGGACATCTACTTGTCGGCGGCCAAGCAAAGGAAGCAGGAAACACCTCATCACGCAGACAATTGTCATCGTTAAACCCGACAAATAAGAGGAACTGTAATGGAGGAGACGCTGAATAAACTGCTGAGGTGGTTTAGTCCTACACTGTGGGCATGGTTTAGTTCCCTCTGTGGAAGTGGTTTAGTCTCTACACTGTAGGGCATGGTTTAGTCCTTACACTGTGGGGCATGAGGCTCTACACTGTGGGCATGGTTAGCCCTACACTGTGGGGGCATGGTTTAGTCTTACACTGTGGGGCATGGTTTAGTCTCTTACACTGTGGGGGCATGGTGGTCCCATACTGTGGGGTATGGTTTAGTCCTTACTCTGTGGGGCATGGTTTAGTCCTTACACTGTGGGGGCATGGTTTAGTCCTTACACTGTGGGCGTGGTTTAGTCTCACACTGTGGGGGCATGGTTTAGTCTTACACTGTGGGGGCATGGTTTAGTCCTTACACTGTGGGGGCAATGGTTTAGTCCTTACACTGTGGGGCATGGTTTAGTCTCTACACTGTAGGGGCGCGGTTTAGTCCTTACACTGTGGGGGCATGGTTTAGTCCTTACACTGTGTAGGCATGGTTTAGTCCTTACACTGTGGGGGCATGGTTTAGTCCTTACACTGTGGGGCATGGTTTAGGCCTTACACTGTGGGGCATGGTTTAGTCCTACACTGTGGGGCATGGTTTAGTCCTTACACTGTGGGGGCAATGGTTTAGTCCCACTGTGGGGCATGGTTTAGTCCTTACACTGTGGGGGCATGGTTTAGTCCTTACACTGTGGGGGCATGGTTTAGTCCTTACACTGTGGGGCATGGTTTAGTCCTACACTGTGGGCATGGTTTAGTTCTCACACTGTGGGGCATGGTTTATCCTTACACTGTGGGGCATTAGTCCTACACTGTGGGGCATGGTTTAGTCCTTACACTGTGGGGGCATGAGGTCCTTACACTGGGGGCATGGCTTGGCCTTACACTGTGGGGGCATGGTTTAGTCCTTACACTGTGGGGGTGGTTTAGTCCTTACACTGTGGGGCATGGTTTAGTCCTTACACTGTGGGGGCATGGTTTAGTCCTTACACTGTGGGGGCATGGTTTAGTCCTTACACTGTGGGGGCATGGTTTAGTCTCATAGGGGCATGGTTTAGTCCTTACACTGTGGGGCATGGTTTGTTCTTACACTGTGGGGCATGGTTTAGTCCTTACACTGTGGGTGGTTTAGTCTTACACTGTGGGGGCATGGTTTAGTCCTTACACTGGGGCGGTTTAGTCCCACACTGTGGGGCTGGTTTATCCTTACACTGTGTGGGGCATGGTTTAGTCCTTACACTGTGGGGGCATGGTTTAGTCCTTACACTGTGGGGCATGGTTTAGTCCTTACACTGTGGGCATGGTTTAGTCCTTACACTGTGGGCGTGGTTTATTTACACTGTGGGGCATGGTTTATCAAGAGTTTGTGCCTTCTTCAGTGTTGTTTTAATGTTCGTGTTAACATCATAACAGTTTAATAAACCTGGAGGTGGGTCTTTTATGTAAACTTGGGCTGTTCAGTTCTTCATCGTCATCCTGGGATTTTATGATTAAATGTAAAGTTTAGGGATTTTGTTTTGAGCTTTGATATTTTTACAAACCATAAGTGAATGGTGTTGTGTAGTGTCTGCCAGAGGTGTTTTGGTGTTTGGACTGTGTATTGCGAGTGTTCGTGATGACGTCAGGTGGTGTTTTTAAGTGTTCGAGAGGACATCAGGGTGTTTTAAGTGTTTCTGATGATGTCAGTAGTTTTGAGAGCGTGATGACGTCAAAGGTATTTTGAATGCTTGCGATGACGTCAGGGTTTTGTGAGCATGGGGTGACGTCAGAGGTGTTTTGTGAGCATAGGGTGACGTCAGAGGTGTTTTGAATGCTTGAGATGTCATAATTTTTTGAGTGCTTTTGCTGACGCCAATTATGACAGGTATACATTAAGTAGCCGGGTACCGTACGTGCCTAAAACAAACCATCCTTACCTACGACTAGTGTCAGCCAGAAGAGGTCAGAGTTTGGCAGTGCTCAATGATCCATTTGTACTAAAATTAGACAAAGTTTAGTTATAGTTTGTTACTTACCAGTACTCGCGGCTTAACACACAAGCGGTTCCTTCTGTGATTTGTAAGTCCTCATTAGCTTACTAGTCTTTCCATGAATAAAACTAAATGATATAGATTCAATATAGAGTATTTAACACCCCACACCCCTGCTTCACACCACCGATGGCTTGTTCCTCACGACTCAATAAAGATTTACAATAGTCCCGTGGAAGATGTAGTTTTAGGGATATAAATAAAAAGTACTTCCTACCATAGATTAGTTTGACTCTGCATCTAAAGGGTGACCTGGTCGATATGAGGAAGATTTAGGTCAAAGGTCAGGAGGACGATGGATGTAACAGCAGCCAATGACCTGATTTTAGGATAGATTGGGTCTGGTAGACAAGGGCCCGTTAGGACTGGGGACTCTACCGTCAGATATGAAAGCGTTATCCTCCAGACAGTAAAACGACCACAACACAAATGTATCAATCCCAAGACAATGAAGGAAGAAACACGACATTAATTATACAAGGCGAACGCGGCCACAATCCGGATTTAATTTTAGTTAACGCGGGAAGAACGCGCCGCATTAAAACACAAAGCTTCATTAATCTCACAGAGGCGGAACCAAAAAAAAGAATATATGAGGCAATTTCCTATGATCTAGAGCCCCATTATAAAAGACTTAAGACCCAAATAATGAAAAGTACACGAAGGGAGATATGAAGGCTAGAATAATTAGGCCACCGCCTCCACCCTCAGATTAATGGCTCGGCGCTGCGTCTCTACCCACCCCTACCAGCACACCTCTACCAGCTCATACAGACGTGAGAGGGACTTGTGGAGGACTTGACGAGTGGGACTTGTGAAATAAAACTTAAATACGGACTTAAAACAACATAGACGAAGTTAAAATGCTTGGACACTGAGTTGAAAAGCTTAGAAAATGGTCTTAGTAAAGCTTACGAATGGGTTTAAAATACTTGAATACGGACCAAACAAGCGTGAAACGAACAATATAACCTTAGAGCCGTACTTCAAAAGCTTAGAAACGGACTAAGATGAAATGGACTTACTAAGCTATAAATAGATTTAATTAACATGTTGTAGACGCCTCTAAAAGCATAGGTTGTTAATTTACTTCCCTACATCACAACATAAGAACATAAGAACATAAGAATGAGGAAACTGCACGGGCCTATTGGCTCCATACTGGGCAGTCCCATTACACTCCAACCCCTATTGCTCATATGAGCATCCAACCTATGTTTGAAGCTATTTAGCGTATTCGAGTTAATGATGATATTTGGAAACTTGTTCCATTCATCCACTACTCTGTTTCCAAACCAGTGTTTACCTATTTCACGCCCAAATCTAAATTTGTCTAATTTAAAACCATTGTTGCGAGTTCGCTCCTGGTTGATAGTTTGAGTACCTTTGTAATGTCCCTTTGTTTAGCCCTGCCTTCCACTTATACACCTCTATCAGGTCGCCCCTCGCTCTACGTCTCTCCAAGGAGTGCAAATTAAGATGCTAACCTGTCTCTATACTCAAGGTTCCTAATGCCCGGGATTAGTCTTGTCATTCTCTGAATTCTTTCCAAGATTCTATATCCATTCTGTAATACGGTGACCAGAACTGAACTACGTAATCCAGGTGTGGTCTCACAAGAGCAAGATACAGTTTTAGGATGACTCCTAGTCTTGTAACTAACACTTTTGTATGAACCCGCATTTTATTAGCCTTGTTAAGAGCAAAAACACATTGTTTACTTGGCTTAAGGTTCCTACTTATCATTACCCTAAATCTCTCTCGCAGTCGGATTTCTATGGCATCGTTGTTCATCTGGTATCTGGTTTCCTGCTTCACATCTCCTATACTGAGTAGTGAGTACTTTTACATTTGTCGACGTTGAATTTCATCTGCCATTTTCCAGACCATTCGAAAAATTTGTTTAGATCTTCCTGAAGTTTTGCTGAGTCCTCGTCAGATTTGATAACACGTCCTATTTTAGTGTCATCAGCAATTACATTTATGTTGCTGTCAATGCCGATATCTATGTCGTTTATGTATATAATAAATAATAATGGTCCAAGTACTGAGCCTTGGGGAACTCCACTTGTGACGTTGTCCAATGGGACTTAGTGCCGTTAATGCTCACTCGCTGTTTCGTCCTGTAACCACGCCCTAATCCATTTAAGGATGTCACCTGATGCCATGGCTTCTACCTTTCTAATTAGTCTTTCGTAGGAACTCTGTCGGCATTTTATAAAGTTGAGATATATCACATCATAATGTGCCCTCGTCCACCGATTCGAAAACTGATGAAAGAATGTTAATAGATTAGTTAGGCAAGAACGTCCACTTCAGAAGCCATGCTGGGAATCATTTATCAATCGGTGCTTCTCCAGGTGATTCCTGAATAGAGTTTGAACCTTACCTTCAGAAGTGTGCAGGTTATGGTGGCTCCTGTACGGACAAGGGTAAATATATTCTGAGTTTACCGCAGTTTAAACCACCACTAAAAGCGCCATTATCACATACAGTATATAAACAAAACGCCAGTATTGTATAGAAAGCGCCATTATAATGTAAAAACAAAAACCATAATATACCAAAACTAAACCATATTATACCCAAACTAAACCATATTATACCCAAACTAAACCATATTATACCAAAACTAAACCATATTATACCCAAACTAAAACCATATTATACCCAAACTAAACCTATTATACCAAAACTAAACCATATTATACCCCAAACTAAAACCATATATACCCAAACTAAAACCATATTATCAA